ATCAATCAATCAATCACTCATTCAATCAGTCATCATCAATCAATTCATCAATCAATCGATCAATCAATCATTAAATCAATCAATCGATCAACTCCACTCATCACTATCAATTAGTAACATCTATCAATGTATCAATCAATTAATAAGTCGGTCAATCACATCAATCAATCAATGTGTCAATCACCGATAAATCTCTCAGTTCGTCACTGAGTCATAGTCTACTTCAATCAGTCAATCAATTGTTCTTACAATCTCAAGAGCTTTGATTGCTGCTCGCCAGGAAAAAAAATAATCAAGGTTGATAGAGAACCACTCGCGATCATGTTGCCGACGATAATCTTCATTTACAATGTATGTGTGCATGGTTTGACGTTACTGAAAAAGAACGTTAATTAACAAATAAATAAGGCTCASCCGTGGTTTATACTCTCATAAACTACACTTTTTTGGCCAATCAGAGCGCGCGTTACAAATCATCTATATAATAGTACTCGTATAGGTTAAGGGTCAGGAGAATAGATKAACAATTATGCACGAGTAGGGCGCCACATGTACTTTGAATGTATATATGTAATTTMAAAACTGATGAGAAAGAAGATAGCTTTATTTAACGCTGAAACACGAAATTCAGGTCTGAATTATTCCAAATACATTAGATTCTCGACTAAAATGAATTCCATAGCAATGAAAATTCTTTAGATAATTGCGGGTTTAATCCGAGCTTTGAAAATGGATGTGTTTACAATCGCGTCTACATTCCAACTTCCAAAAATTTGCAAAGGAGTTCCCTTATTTCACAAAGAAAACTTTCCGAGAGATTCCATGCCACTTACCTTTATTGAGAAGGCACTAATTACATGACATAATCGTGATGTCGAAAATGTGGATTAAGAGTGATCAAGCTCGACAAGAAGACTGCTATTCTTTGCGTGACACTGCCGAGACTGAACATTGACCCAGGGAGCCCATACTACCGCAATGCATACTTTGAGATTGCGCACCACTCACTCTAGATTTTCATTGAATATTTCCTATTGGAATAAAGATATCAATAAGACTCTCTCAAGGAAAATGTCTAAAGTAGAAGAAAAAATAAATAAGAAATCGTAACTAATGACATGAAGAAGGGAAAATAAAGCCGAAAGTTTTAGTAAGAAAGGCGTGATGAAATCTATGACCATAACGTAAGCCGATTCGACACCTCATATCATGGGAATTTCGTTCCTTTTTTGCTTTTTTTTTGTGACGTTCTTATTTTACACATGGGTTTGTCTTTCGCTGTTTCTCTGTATTATATAGCCAACAGCATTCAATGAGGTCGTGTTTTGGATATATAGTAAACGACACTGGTGAAAAACGCACTGCGCATGTCCACAGCCTTCCCGCTGAAATCTGCCTAATTTTCTTTGTAAACCGATTTTTGTGAAAGTTTTTTTACAATTTATAAGCTCGTTCACCGATATATAAGATTCATATTTCCATCAATCATTGTTCATGATAGGTTCTTTTAGTACGTAGTTTCTACGTTTATCTTGTTATTTCTATTTTGAGAAAATGAGTTTTTTCGTAGTGTTTTCTGTGTTGTCGCTATAAATCGCCTGGCGCTCTGTTTATAGATTTCAAGACGCGCGCGCGCGCTCACTGGCGCGAAAGATGTGGGCATGCGCAGTGCGTTTTTCACTAGTGTCATAGTAAACTATGAGATGACAAAAAGTATCCGTTCGTCGTAATCCGTCAGTCTTCATCGGTCAGTTTTGAGGTTGAATYTTGTACTGAATATCTCTATTCTTAGAGCATAAAGAGATCATAAAGAGTAATATAAGTTTTGAGTATGTTACGAGTATCTTTATTTTCAAAGATAAACAAAAGCTCGCAAGGGATGCCGGTCGACCAGGGCCCTTTCAAAAAGGATATTATTCTTTATAGTACATTCAACAAAATAATACTTTTTCATTGGTCGAGAGGAGTACAATTACAGCGTTAATTGTACTCGTTATAAAATTTTGTTTCACTGAATGTACTATAAACAAAAAATCGCACAACCTCTTGTACAATTTGGAATTAGAGTTCTAATAGTCACGAGTAATGTTTTGAAAGTTCTCAAATTGCACTGGCCTTATCGGGCTCCTGCAATTACGAAGAACTTTCAAAACATCACTCGACGTGACTATAAATTCCAATTGTATTCAAGGTCGGTATTTCCTATACAAACCCCTATCATACACAGAAGATTACAGACAAATAATCGCCAATTAAAGAGAAACGGCAATGATATAAAGAACATTTTTTCGTTTTTATTTTAATTTAAAGAGAAACATTCTTACAAATATTTTATGTCTATACCTTTGATAGAAAACCTATCTATGTTCCTAGGTGTTTGTTAAGTGCATTTGATATGGACGTGCAGCTCAAACGTCCTAGCTTTCACGACCAAAACTTTAGACATGATTAACGCGCACTTTATGAGTTGGTAATCTTGTAGCTGTAGGACCATATCATTTATCAAAGCAGTGCCTCAGTTGAAATGTTAAGTAATAAAAGTTTTATTTAAAAAATAATTAAAGCGATTTTATTCAAGATCTCCAGGGGAGAAGTTAAAAAATACTTAAGCCAAAGCTTTAGTTAGACTTAGAGAACAAATATAAGAATTGAAGAAAATGACTTAAACATTTTTTACCGTAAGCGAGTGCAGTTTTTGAAAGCGCAGTGCTGTTAGTAGCAGGAGTGTCCATGATGTCAGTGTGTATTGGGTTTGGTCAGAGCGTTTTCAAAGACGTGTCTATTTTTAGATTTTTCTCGACCAATGAGCAGTCACTTCCGGTATTACGCGCGCGTGGAAATCCGCGGGAAAACCAAAAGTAAAATAGTAAAGAAACATAACGGACGATAGTGAAAGCGATTTTTCTTCTACACTTTATTAAATAAGTAATACATAGGCTACTACTGAAGAGATGAATGACGAAAAATAATTAAAATAGACACGTCTATATGAAAACGCCGTGAAACTCTTGTATTAGGACATGCGCGCTCCTAAAAATGGGTTCCTGCTTAGAAGGTATTGTTCTTTATGCTTCCGACTCGGCAATGGGGCGGTTATCGCGGTATTTTTTATGTTCTTTACGACGTTTCCATTCTCTGTAGAACATGATGAGGTGAAAGATGGCGTCGATGATGAATATGAGTGCAGCGATAAATGCTAACACCTTTGAAAATTAAAAAGTATCAATCAAATTAAGATGAGAAGGGGGTGGGGGTGGGGGTGAATCAACGTCACAAACGCCTGATGCTACAGTGGTAACAGTACACATGGCTATAGAATGGTCATTATCTCGGTCAAGGAATCATAATATAGTTGTCTTACAAAGATAAACTAAAAAGTCTAAAAAAGATTATTTTTATGACATTGTTATGAGTTTTTTATGACTTTTCGGACGCTATTTTGCTTTATTTCCAAAAAGGACTAGCTATCATTCAATCATTTAATCAATCATTCCATCAATTATCCAATCAATCATTCCATCAAACATTGCATCAATCATTGCATCAATCATTCCATTCATGAATCAATCAATCAATCAATCATTTCAACAACCATACCATGAAACAATCAATACCATCCAACCAATCGTTCAATCAATCATCCAATCAATCATTCAATTAATCGATCGATCGATCGTCCCATCAATCAAATTACAAGCCAGTTGCCCACGATTGAATCTAAAGCCAACTTACCACAGCAGCTACCAAGTTATCRAAATGAACTTTCTTGGACGTTGTAAAGATCTCTTTCCATTCGAGCCCTCGATGCTTTCGTGCTTCGTCCGCCATCAAACCCGCTGAGGCCATTAGAAATATTGCCGCAACAACGCTCGTGAACACAATCTGTAAAACATTTGAAAAAAAAATTGCACCGATTTTCGCCTCGTTTTCACTCCAAATAAAGTGTTTGCACTTGTGCATGTGCTTGCGTCTGCGCTTGTGTTTCATTGTACTCGCGTTTTTGCTTGCGTTTGTGCTTACGTCTTTTTTTGTGTTTGTGCTTGCGGCTGTATTGCGTTTGTGCTTACGTCTTTTCTTGTGTATATGCTTGCGTCTGTATTGCGTCTTTGCTTGCGTTTGTGCTTACGTCTTTTCTTGTGCTTGTGCTTGCGTCTGTATTGCGTCTTTGCTTGCGTTTGTGCTTTCGTCTGCGATTATGTCTGCGCTTTCGCAAGGCGTACATTATTACAGGCCATCATTACACTGTTACTGTAAAACTTACGCAAAGACCCCAATCGTAGTTTGGGAATCTCTTGTCGATGGTGCACACCATTAGAACATAGAAAATAAACACTAAAATCCACGAMACACAAACCACCACGTAGAAAAAGATGACTTTAGCTGGATAACCTGCCCAGTGTACCTCGTACTGAACCATGCAGGCCATGGCAGCAATAAGAAATATCTACACACACACATGAAATAACCCAAGATTAGTGAAAAAAAAATTAAATAATAATAATAATAAACAAAAATTTATTCGGTCGCCATTTTGAATTGATCTGCTATCATTAAATTTTAGGTTTTTAGATTGTTGAAACTCAAAAACGGTCGCTTCTACAGAGTAACAGGGGCTTTTTACGACTTTCGATAAAACTTTTATTTTTCAAGTATAATTTGAGTTGAGCAAGAGAAGAAGTTGCTTTATTTCCTCATAAGTTCGACAGTAAAACTTATCAATTATCACCCTGCACGTCTACTCAGTTAAATCGTCAAATAATAAGATCGATGTTTTAGCGTGTGTTCTTGGTTTCTAACTTTTATATGGGAAACATCATTCATAGGTAGCAGTCATCAGATTTTCTATCCGCCATTTTGAATATGGTACGACGGTTACACAATATATATTCTTCAAATATTCATCCTTTTTTTACGAATTACTTTTTGGGAGGCCTCTTTTCAGTTCTCTTTTTCTCTTTTCTCTCCTTTTCATTTCTTCTCCCTTGTTACCAAGGCAGCGACATTATAGATATATCCTCACCCCACCCCAACAGGGGATATTTTTGTACTTTCTTGTTTACATCGATCACCCACACTATCTTATCTTCTTCCAGGAAAAAAAATACATCAGAATGAAAACATATTTGATATCGATCGAGGATATCAGCTACATTCCATCCAGCCCACAGAATTGCCGAGTTTTACTCAAATACCGAGGCCAATTTGCAAGGCCAATTATAGACAATTTGTCAGTCAGTGTTGACCCCAAAACATCCATACTGTAATAWACTGTGTGCTGTTTTTGAAACTTTAAGACAGATTGATTGATAAACAGCCTGTAAACCTTCAAATAACGCCCTATTATGTGTGCTACATGTCTYGTTATACAACAATAACCTTGTTTCGATAAGAAGATATATCAGAGAAGATTCTCGATGAGAAATCTTTGCTGCTTTCTCATAAAACATGGAGAATAACGCTTTGAAGAATTATAAAAATTAAAAACTACTTACACATTCTAGTATCCTTAGAACAGACGGACAGGACATGATATAACTCATGTTAACGTACAGAACTCCATCGTCTTCATCGTACGATTGCCCTTCGTTGTTATTCCGTGCATTTCKTTTCGCCATCTTGGACCGCGGCTKCTAGACAACAAAAAGCGTTACGASTTTGTCGATGTTAAACCGTTCTTAGAATGAAAAGTATTTTGGTGTGACGGACTTGAGGAGTGGAGAGACAACCTGGAATATTTTAAGAAGTTGAGGTCTTTCGAYCGGCCGTCTGTGACGTGTTTTTTGTGTTTTTTTAATAGCCCCAGTATTATCGTATGCTAACGTCGACAGACGAACAACAGTCAGTAAGTGGTTTTGGTCACGCAATATTATTTGGTCACAATGTTATTGGCTCTAGTTTGACATTATTTCAATTTTGTTAAAATTTCTTAAGAAAATGCTTTTCATTATTCACATTGAGAAAATTATGATTTTTTTCTTTTTCTTTGCGGGTTGAAGTGCTGTTTGAATTTCAAATGCTTGAATCTGACATTGAAATGGTAGCCCTTGTGGCACTTCAGTTGCTTTCTCTCACTTGAAAGGCTTTTTTCCGGAATCAACAATCTTCCAATTGAAAACGCTAGCCTCTACAAAGCAATACGAAAAACGTAGTAACATTCAAACCACATTTCTACAAATATAATAAATCATTGCTTATGAATGTACAAATTAGATTAAATCTTACAATTAAAAACACAACTAACCCAGTAGTTSTTTTTGGATCGAAAAAGCCATACATTATAAGTTAATTACATATATTTTTACTCCAATTAAAGACTTATCATTGYCATTCAATGTAATCAAATGGCGAACACTCTTTGTAAAGGTTTAATCCGTGCATAATTYCATAGAATATAGAGCTACTATTCCCACGAAGAAAAATCACCGAGTTCAATTTTGTACGTAGTTAGTGCGTTATTAGATAGCTATTAGTTACTTATGAAGAGCTCATTTCCAATCTTTTAAGAATAAAATAAAATTTGCGCTCAGATTCAGATCTGCTAACTAGTTTTGTGCAACTCGGTGCAACACCCGCTGTCTTCCTGCTCGCTTCCATACATGCTTACATAAACGTTTTGATTCTTTTTCGATATTTTTAGCATATGAAAGAGAAGGGTTTTTTGAAGTCTCTTTATTGGTTTTGGCAAAATATTTCTTGAAAGTTTTGCGGAGGACTTCGGCGACGCGACCTCGTCATCATTTGCCTCCATTTTCAGATTGTTCATATGCTTCAACATTTTAAAACGCAAAATTAATTATTTGTTCTGTTTATATACTAAAAATACAAAGCAGGAAATAGGCGTAAAGAATATATACTTTGGAACTGATTCTGTCATATTTTAGTTGGATAAATTACTGTAAAATATCACTTGACTGAAGTACTCTTGTCACCGCAGAATCTCTCTTGTCTAAACTGTTCAAACACACGTCCATCAAACGCGGCCACATTTGGCACGTATAGATTATATATAATTGAACATCAGTTAAGGAGTATTTTCAGAATTTTAAGAAAAGTCGTTAAATTTTATTAATAAAAAGATTATTGAAATAATTGTTTTACTTAACAATTCTTCGCTTTGTTGTAGAAATTCATGTGGAGTTATAACAAAGCCATTCTATAATGCGCCCAAACTTACCAAATGTTAATTTTGCGGTGTTGAAGTCCTGTTCTAATTCAAAAACTTCAAAAGTTTTCGCTCTTAAACTGAAGAAGCGAACTTCCCAGCTTCTTGCAGGTTGTCCTGCTTACCTTTTGAAAATCAATGTTCAACGAAGCAGACAGTGCCAAGCGAGTCTAACTCCTTTCAAAACAAAACGTTTTTGACATACTTCGTTGGATATTTGCATCTCATTTGCGAAGACAGAGTAGCTGTCATTACAGCCATGTAAACAGTAAAGAAAGATTCATGACGTCAGGAAAGCAAATGTTATTTTATTTTTAGTGTTCAAGGGCAAAAGATTTTGAGAAGTATTTCGTACCTGGTTGTCATTTCAGCAGTTTGTTTCAATATCCGTTGCTCTTTTTGACCATTTTGTTGTTTTGAGCGAAGGGTTATCACAAGTGAATAAGGAAAGAATGAGCCAAACAAGCAAGAAAACAAAGAAACAAGTGTAGAATTTAAGGGGAAGGCTAATACACTAAGACTGTACAGTATAAACTTTTGGTGCAAGCAAACACAGAAATACTAAGGAACTTCAGTGAAATAAGAAATTAAGTAAAAGCAATCTAAACTCCCGGGGGGGGGGTACTCGACCCCGTTTTGGATAGGTACGTGCCGCCAGCGGTCTAAATCCCTGACCCTGTTTAAGACACTAGAAAGCGAAAATCCATACCCTGTTGAAGACAAATCGGAAAAATAAGGAATAGCAATCTGCGCCGCAACCATCAAAAGTGCAATTATACTGACATCCATCAAAGACAATAAGAAATTTTTGATAACACGTTAATCCTGGGACAGTGAAACGGTATTTCTACTATTCCTACGGTGTTTTTTTAWGAAAATATTACCCTGTCTAAGACACACACAAAAATATATCGGTCTTTTATCTAATTTTTCGAGCCTGTTTAAGACAATTTCGGGTGAAATGTATACCCTGTTTAAGACAGCAAGGCCAAAAACCATACCCTGGCCAGCGGCACGTCCCCGTATTGCAAATATATGGGAGTGCCCCCCCCCGGGTCTAAACTATCAAAATCTTCTACCATCTCACGCAAATAAGAAGCCACATCGGTATATTTGAAAGATTATATTTATTTACGAAAAGATAGCATTACAAAAGCATGCATTACAAATTATTGAGCAAATGTACATTCTCAAAAAAAGGCTTAACTTACGATACATATTTAGTACACTTCTTTTATCAAGACGATAATTTTCTTGCAAAATAATGATGTCGGATATGGTGGACAGAGTGTGGACTCCTAAACAAATGCAAAACTTTGACCTATTATTTGATATATTTTACACTTGCAATTTCTGCAGCGCGATTTTCGCGCGACAATCGCCACTTTGTTCTCTCGCACCTCAAATCGTACGTGTAACAGCCCCGCGATTGTTGCAGCTAAATTTCAAGCATGTTCGAAACTAAGGCGATTGTCGCGCGAGAATCGCGCTGCAAAAATTGCACGCAAAAATTGCAAGTAACGGGCCTTTAAGCAAATGATAGCTGTTAAATTAAGCCTTGAGATCTTGAACAAGGCGTAAGATTTGACCATTACAAACTCGGAAGTGTTTTTTTTTCTATGTGGCCTATCTGAATGCATCGGCATGTAAGGCGGCGTCGAGAAGGAAAAGAACACTGTTCAAGAAGCCACAGGTCTGAAAATGAATAAAACAAATTGTCATTTTCAATACTTAAACTTGTTGAATTACATTGCAAGAAATCCATAAACTTTGGGATAAAATAGATATGGCAAATGCAGGTTAACAATATTTCGTTAAACTGATTGGATGACAGCTTGACAACAACCAATCAACTATTTTATAAACGCAATTCTATTGGGTCCACACAACTTAAAAAACCCTTCAAGTGCAAGTTGAAAATTTACTCTTTGTAACTGGATAAAAAAAGTACCAGTTAACAGGATGCCAATTAAATGACAGCTATCAATCAATCATACTTACGATAGAGATGATCATGTGATCAGTGTACCATTTCCAATAGTCAGGGCTCGTCTTGTAAAGTTGGTTTCTGTACAACATGTTGCAGTAGAAGATCATGAGCCCAGCTGAAACGCCACACAATATTGATAGCAGAAATGAAACTGTGAGATTCTGAGGAAAAAATTAAGCACAGTTAATAAAAAATTCTTTGATTTTTGCCACTGATCATTTTGTGCAGTAAATACTGACAAGGACAATTGTCAAATGCCACCCTGTCTCAACACCGGCACAGACGGGGGGGGAAGGGTGCAGCCCCCCAGCTTTTTTCCATTTAAGGTCTGAAGTACCCCTATAATCTTGAATTAGATCTACAAATGACCCTAACGCTAACCCTAACCCCCCCTCCCCTCCTAGCTAGAGCCTGCGATATGAAGGATAATCAAAGTTTTGTATCGATTGTTCCTGGGGTGAACGAGCTGTAACAGACCGCTAAAATATCATGCAACTTCAAATCGTTCAGGCCAAAGCTTTTGCTCGTCAGTGCTGATAGTCAATGGCAATGCAGGCTGTAATAAACTCAAAACTCATAGCCCATATGTAACATCTTTGTACTGTCTGAATACATATTCTTGCTTACCAGGATTTCCCAGCATCGTCTCGACCCACAAACATTGTCCATTCCAGTCAGAAAGATGGCAAGTACAATGATTGATTCAACCATTCCAAACAAGTGACTACCAAAGAATAAGTAGTAACGACTTTGGTAATCAAATGTGTAGTCATCTCCAAATGCAATATGGGATACTACTTGAGTTGAGAACCCAAGGCAAGTGATAATCTGTAATAGAATTCGACTGTTATTAGAGATTATTAAGACCTATTAGTTTTATGGATGACAAATGGATAAATGCAAATAATTAGCAAACCAACCAACCGACCAGCCAATGACCCAATCTACCAACAAACCAACCCACCAACAACCAACCAACAAATTTAGCAATCCAACTGACAAACCAACCCATCCACCCACCCAATAGCAAACAACCAACCAACCAATCCACCAACCAACCAACTGACCAACCAACCAATAAGCCAACCAACGAACAAACCAAACCAAACCAATCTACAAACTGGACAAACTGCTGTACTATTCAAAAATGTGTTTCCTTATTGATTTGGGAAGACATTGTTTACTTCCAACGAATTGGTGGGTTGGTGGGATCCAGAACCACTGCACCCCCCTGGTCATATCTACTTACAATTATAAGAATTTTAAGAAATGTCTTGGGTCCATAGGGCTTGTAAGGAGGGACATCCTTTAGAGATCTTGCTCTTCGAAGAGTGTGCATATCAGGTAACTTAAAAACAAAAATTGGCATCATTTTTCATAGTTTTAGTGTTTATAATACTTTGAATAAGCAAGGTTAAGTTCTAGGCCTTGTTGCTAAAAAATCACCGAAATTGGGACAATCTTGGCGCKCTTTGCTGTGAAATAAAGCGTTTGAAAGTCGAATTCAGCGCGTACGTGAGAAAATAGTAGCGAGCCACCTTAACATATTGAAATGACATTGATATGGCCTATGGCGCTACATCTTTGCATCGAGTACGTAACATATTCTCATTTTCCATTAAAGATCCTATTATTTTATCCTACCTTTCGACGATTTCTTTGGGAAAACATCGAAAGCTAAAYTAGCGTGAATCTAGCTATTTGAATCCAATTAAATAAAACGCAAGCAATTGTTTGGAATCGGAATCTTCACATTCCTTTTAGAATAATAATCGCTTCGTGATATGCAAGTTGTAATTTCTTATATAACTCATGCTGAATGCTTGCTTTCAGATTGGAAAAGCAACCCTAAAACTTTAAGAAATTGAGTAAAACGATGCTTAGAGACCCAAGATATCAAACTCGTAAGTCTTTACTGAGTTTTTATGTTGTTTATGCAAAAATTTCGACGCTTTAGATCTCCATTCGCGCGTAAAATTTATACCTATACCTTCTCAACGACAATAATGACAGAATGCGGTTGGAAAGGGGTCTAACCAACGCTTTAAGGACCTCTTTATCGAAAGTTGCCATCTTCAGTTATAAGTAAAGATAGCGAGATATCATTTCAGCGTGCGAGTTGAACTATTGTTCGGCAATGCACGTTTCTAAAGAAACAATGTGGCTCCTCTTGCACTCTCTCGCCAAAACGTTACATTTTTTGGGAAACTAAGCATTCAAGTTCTTGATCTTTTTACTTGAAGACCACATTCAACAAAGAAAGCATCAAAACGTTTTACTAAATGTACTTAAAAGTTCTGCTAGTTCCAAAAATCAAGCCGTACTACCTGCTCAAAGTTGTCGAAGATGTGTGACTTTGTTTGCGAGAATTTTGAACGCGATGCAAAGTTGAACGCAACTACCGTTGACCCTCTTACCTTGAGCAAACAGAATCAGAGTAAACCACGAGTTATGATTGAAAATTGAAGTAGAACTATGACCAGATAGTGATATTTTGACGTTCCTGTTGAATCATCGATGAGTTTAGCCGAGCGTTACAAATGTCGCTAAATGAATTTAGATTAATTCAAAACTGAATTTGTTTTAATTGTTAAGTGAATTCGTGGGGGAGGTAGAGGGTAGAGTTTTAGTTCTGTTATTTTTAAACAATGTTGATGGCATGCATGTTGAAACAAAAGTCGCAAGTACTGAGAAGCCTGCCACAAAGAACGTTTTTGGCCATCCTTAGAACAAACAAACGTCTATCTTCTCGTCTTTATGATTTATTTGCATTGGATTCAAAGGGAGTATTAGTCGGTATTTTCTTGTCGGCACTATATTTCTTCATATTTTTATGTGTGTGAAAATTATTTATATTTACCACACTAAACAAAACCATAGAGTTCTTACCTGGCCTTACCTCAACATAAATTTCCTAATGTTCAAATGTTGAATTGCCCTAATTAAACTCGCCTCCAGGCTCTCTTCTGCATTGTTAAAAATGGCTACGCTATCACGACCGTCCGCCATCTTGAAAATACCGAGAACGCACTGGGAACAATGTAATTGGTTATTTTTTTGAATCATTTTTTGGTTACTTGGGCTATTCAGCTCACATATTGCAATGTTTTGCCGACAACGTTTCGTTGCCATTTTGGTGGGCAAATTCGTCAGGTCGTTTCTCCGTCTCGCTTGATCGCTACTGTGAGCTTATAGCCCAAGCAACCAAAACAGTGATACAACACAGCACATAAAAAAGTTACCGATCATTAATTTTTTTTCTTTCCATAATTCAAGTCATCATTAGCATTAAAGTAACTAATCAACAAAACCGTTTTTGATACGACTTTATTGTCTGATACATAAATGATGGTGGCGAAATGAACTATGGGATATACAAAAGTACGGACTTATGGCAACTGAAGCCACACTGTGTTCAGTTCAAYGCTGATTTGCGAACAAAGAATGCGCTTCTTAGACTATTCATGAAGTATACAGTAAAAACCCGATGTTTTGGCGGTTCAGGCTTATTTGTTTCKTATATAAAAGGTTATAATCTACAAAATCAGCCTGTAAGTGTTCTTAAGTGTTCTCAGTAAAAAAGTGTTTTTAAATAAGGAACATACTTGGCTACCAATAGATGAAATCAATATATATATGCACACAATTTTAAGTTATCAATACAATGATGTAACTATTTTGATTTAAAGAAATTGTTAAAGCAATGTGTGCAATAAAAAATTGGTTTTGATCTTTGATATGTTTCCATATAAGAACAAGTTTCATTTTTCAGCCTGAATGTGTTCTTATATAAATGGTACTTTATTTCCTAAAATCAGGCCTGGGTGTTCTTAATCCACTCGTTCTTATACGCGGATTTTTACTGTATTTCAGTATATCATATAGTATATCTTATTTATATATTTTACAAAGCGTCCTTGTCCACGGATATCGTCAATTTTGCGAAGCATTCGCCATCTTACCATGATGCATTTCGCCAAACAAACCGGAATGACGTCATGAGTTGAAAGTTCCATCGACTAAACAGCACTGCATCAGTTACTGTACCACTGTAGATCACTGTATTCATACTCTCGGCCATGTTTCTTAAGGGATTGTTTCATCGGGTTTGGAGGGTTACCTCACGAAAAAGGGAGGATGAGAATTTTTTTTTTTTTAGAATCTTCAAATAGCTCGGAGATTGAGTGGAAAATAATAGCCATAAAATTCCAGCTAGATATTTTGAAGAAATCATCTCAGTTCAAGTCGYTATATTGATCGTTCTAATAGTCTTAAAGGGCCATGGTCAACCAGCATCACTTACGACATTTTGCCGATGTTTGAAAATGAAAATACATTATAACATAAGCAAAACATCTTTCTCTTTATCTGCTCTTTATGCTCTAAGAATGAAGATAATTTAAGATTCGATCATGAAACAGATTGTGAACTGGTATTTATAGCCAACCCATGTTTCATATATGGAAAGTCTAAAGCATGACCGCATGGAATGACGGTTAACCGTGGCCCTTTAATGCTAAGWTTCTCTCTGCTTAACGCAGTTCTTTGCAATGAAGAAGGGCGTCGATGAGGAAAAGGATCGCACAGATAAACCCAGAAGCCTGCGGAGACAGGAAAAGATCATGTCAAAAATTTCTTTCTAACGTAATTTAATTTTGAAGCACGGAATCACTAGAGGAAGTTATTTTTAGTACCCTTTTGGGACAGAGTGTGCTCTTGTTGCCTGAGCATCCCATAATTTCTTCATAATTCAAGATGGCGGTAATCTCCTCTTTCACCCATCCAACCTCGCTCTCAAAACGAATGGGTTAAGTGCCTGGGAACGAAGTTGTTCTTTTATTTTACATGTGGCGAGAAAAAAATGTCGGGGCATCCCATAATTTTTTCATGATTCAAGATGGCGGCCGTCTCCTGTTTCATCTATCAACCTCGTTCCCAAACGAAGGGATAAATACCCGGGAAAGAGGTTACTCATTTGTTTTACATGTGATGAAGAAAAGAGCCTGGGTGCAATTTCAACCTACCAAAGCAGTGATGCGAAGGTTGGTCATAAGTTCCCAGGTATCTGATAGCTTGTACCAGCCGCTCTCGTGCTCGTCCTTAGCCCTCTCCACGAGTAAACCACACGCCACGATATAAACAACTGACGCCGTGAGGGAGATGATCATCACCTTAAAAAAATGAACATTCTGAGCTTATACCAACTTCACGGGTTTCCTGTGCTTTTTTTAATTACAGCATCATGGACTCCCGTGGAGGAGAGTATAAAAACTTAACACTGTCAATCTTGTACCCAGAGCCCTATTGGCCAACGCCGAAGACGTATGTTTGTCGATGCATTAACTTCCGCTGGAAGGCAAAAGTGTGGGCTCTGGGAACGAGATTGCGAAAACGTATGTTTGTCGACGGCGCACCCGAACATCTCGGGCATCTTCACAGCAACGACCTGTGCAGAATCATACAAATCTCACGTCCAAGCTTTCGTGGCGAAATTTTAACGCACAATGCTCGCTGATGTGGCTTACCAAGAAACTCCAGCATTTTCTTGAGCCCACGGAATTGTTGATGTCAAACAAGAAAAGCAAGTAAATCAGCAGCGAAGAGCCGGCGCCCGCGATATGGGCGAACAGGAAGAACGTGTAACGACGTTTGTATTCGTCTCCTTTTGATATGTCCCAAGTTTTGTCATCGGCTACGATCATACAGATGAACGCCACACACGACACAATCTGGAAAGGAATCAAAGGTCACTTTACAATAATACTCGGCTTCTTGTTCTCGGCTCTTTATTCGATAGCATGCATTCTATTCTTCACATTGAGAAAATTATGATTTTTTTCTTTTTCTTTGCGGGTTGAAGTGCTGTTTGAATTTCAAATGCTTGAATCTGACATTGAAATGGTAGCCCTTGTGGCACTTCAGTTGCTTTCTCTCACTTGAAAGGCTTTTTTTCCGGAATCAACAATCTTCCAATTGAAAACGCTAGCCTCTACAAAGCAATACGAAAAACGTAGTAACATTCAAACCACATTTCTACAAATATAATAAATCATTGCTTATGAATGTACAAATTAGATTAAATCTTACAATTAAAAACACAACTAACCCAGTAGTTGTTTTTGGATCGAAAAAGCCATACATTATAAGTTAATTACATATATTTTTACTCCAATTAAAGACTTATCATTGCCATTCAATGTAATCAAATGGCGAACACTCTTTGTAAAGGTTTAATCCGTGCATAATTTCATAGAATATAGAGCTACTATTCCCACGAAGAAAAATCACCGAGTTCAATTTTGTACGTAGATAGTGCGTTATTAGATAGCTATTAGTTACTTATGAAGAGCTCATTTCCAATCTTTTAAGAATAAAATAAAATTTGCGCTCAGATTCAGATCTGCTAACTAGTTTTGTGCAACTCGGTGCAACACCCGCTGTCTTCCTGCTCGCTTACATATATGCTTACATAAACGTTTTGATTCTTTTTCGATATTTTTAGCATATAAAAGAGAAGTTTTTTTTAAGTCTCTTTATTGGTTTTGGCCAAATATTTCTTGAAAGTTTTGCGGACGACTTGGGCGACGCGACCTCGTCATCTTGCTACGAGCGTTTGCCTCCATTTTCAGATTGTTCATATGCTTCAACATTTTAAAACGCAAAATTAATTATTTGTTCTGTTTATATACTAAAAATACAAAGCAGGAAATAGGCGTAAAGAATATATACTTTGGAACTGATTCTGTCATATTTTAGTTGGATAAATTACTGTAAAATATCACTTGACTGAAGTACTCTTGTCACCGCAGAATCTCTCTTGTCTAAACTGTTCAAACACACGTCCATCAAACGCGGCCACATTTGGCACGTATAGATTATATATAATTGAACATCAGTTAAGGAGTATTTTCAGAATTTTAAGAAAAGTCGTTAAATTTTATTAATAAAAAGATTATTGAAATAATTGTTTTACTTAACAATTCTTCGCTTTGTTGTAGAAATTCATGTGGAGTTATAACAAAGCCATTCTATAATGCGCCCAAACTTACCAAATGTTAATTTTGCGGTGTTGAAGTCCTGTTCTAATTCAAAAACTTCAAAAGTTTTCGCTCTTAAACTGAAGAAGCGAACTTCCCAGCTTCTTGCAGGTTGTCCTGCTTACCTTTTGAAARTCAATGTTCAACGAAGCAGACAGTGCCAAGCGAGTCTAACTCCTTTCAAAACAAAACGTTTTTGACATACTTCGTTGGATATTTGCATCTCATTTGCGAAGACAGAGTAGCTGTCATTACAGCCATGTAAACAGTAAAGAAAGATTCATGACGTCAGGAAAGCAAATGTTATTTTATTTTTAGTGTTCAAGGGCAAAAGATTTTGAGAAGTATTTCGTACCTGGTTGTCATTTCAGCAGTTTGTTTCAATATCCGTTGCTCTTTTTGACCATTTTGTTGTTTTGAGCGAAGGGTTATCACAAGTGAATAAGGAAAGAATGAGCCAAACAAGCAAGAAAACAAAGAAACAAGTGTAGAATTTAAGGGGAAGGCTAATACACTAAGACTGTACAGTATAAACTTTTGGTGCAAGCAAACACAGAAATACTAAGGAACTTCAGTGAAATAAGAAATTAAGTAAAAGCAATCTAAACTCCCGGGGGGGGGGTACTCGACCCCGTTTTGGATAGGTACGTGCCGCCAGCGGTCTAAATCCCTGACCCTGTTTAAGACACTAGAAAGCGAAAATCCATACCCTGTTSAAGACAAATCGGAAAAATAAGGAATAGCAATCTGCGCCGCAACCATCAAAAGTGCAATTATACTGACATCCATCAAAGACAATAAGAAATTTTTGATAACACGTTAATCCTGGGACAGTGAAACGGTATTTCTACTATTCCTACGGTGTTTTTTTATGAAAATATTACCCTGTCTAAGACACACACAAAAATATATCGGTCTTTTATCTAATTTTTCGAGCCTGTTTAAGACAATTTCGGGTGAAATGTATACCCTGTTTAAGACAGCAAGGCCAAAAACCATACCCTGGCCAGCGGCACGTCCCCGTATTGCAAATATATGGGAGTGCCCCCCCCCGGGTCTAAACTATCAAAATCTTCTACCATCTCACGCAAATAAGAAGCCACATCGGTATATTTGAAAGATTATATTTATTTACGAAAAGATAGCATTACAAAAGCATGCATTACAAATTATTGAGCAAATGTACATTCTCAAAAAAAGGCTTAACTTACGATACATATTTAGTACACTTCTTTTATCAAGACGATAATTTTCTTGCAAAATAATGATGTCGGATATGGTGGACAGAGTGTGGACTCCTAAACAAATGCAAAACTTTGACCTATTATTTGATATATTTTACACTTGCAATTTCTGCAGCGCGATTTTCGCGCGACAATCGCCACTTTGTTCTCTCGCACCTCAAATCGTACGTGTAACAGCCCCGCGATTGTTGCAGCTAAATTTCAAGCATGTTCGAAACTAAGGCGATTGTCGCGCGAGAATCGCGCTGCAAAAATTGCACGCAAAAATTGCAAGTAACGGGCCTTTAAGCAAATGATAGCTGTTAAATTAAGCCTTGAGATCTTGAACAAGGCGTAAGATTTGACCATTACAAACTCGGAAGTGTTTTTTTTTCTATGTGGCCTATCTGAATGCATCGGCATGTAAGGCGGCGTCGAGAAGGAAAAGAACACTGTTCAAGAAGCCACAGGTCTGAAAATGAATAAAACAAATTGTCATTTTCAATACTTAAACTTGTTGAATTACATTGCAAGAAATCCATAAACTTTGGGATAAAATAGATATGGCAAATGCAGGTTAACAATATTTCGTTAAACTGATTGGATGACAGCTTGACAACAACCAATCAACTATTTTATAAACGCAATTCTATTGGGTCCACACAACTTAAAAAACCCTTCAAGTGCAAGTTGAAAATTTACTCTTTGTAACTGGATAAAAAAAGTACCAGTTAACAGGATGCCAATTAAATGACAGCTATCAATCAATCATACTTACGATAGAGATGATCATGTGATCAGTGTACCATTTCCAATAGTCAGGGCTCGTCTTGTAAAGTTGGTTTCTGTACAACATGTTGCAGTAGAAGATCATGAGCCCAGCTGAAACGCCACACAATATTGATAGCAGAAATGAAACTGTGAGATTCTGAGGAAAAAATTAAGCACAGTTAATAAAAAATTCTTTGATTTTTGCCACTGATCATTTTGTGCAGTAAATACTGACAAGGACAATTGTCAAATGCCACCCTGTCTCAACACCGGCACAGACGGGGGGGGAAGGGTGCAGCCCCCCAGCTTTTTTCCATTTAAGGTCTGAAGTACCCCTATAATCTTGAATTAGATCTACAAATGACCCTAACGCTAACCCTAACCCCCCCTCCCCTCCTAGCTAGAGCCTGCGATATGAAGGATAATCAAAGTTTTGTATCGATTGTTCCTGGGGTGAACGAGCTGTAACAGACCGCTAAAATATCATGCAACTTCAAATCGTTCAGGCCAAAGCTTTTGCTCGTCAGTGCTGATAGTCAATGGCAATGCAGGCTGTAATAAACTCAAAACTCATAGCCCATATGTAACATCTTTGTACTGTCTGAATACATATTCTTGCTTACCAGGATTTCCCAGCATCGTCTCGACCCACAAACATTGTCCATTCCAGTCAGAAAGATGGCAAGTACAATGATTGATTCAACCATTCCAAACAAGTGACTACCAAAGAATAAGTAGTAACGACTTTGGTAATCAAATGTGTAGTCATCTCCAAATGCAATATGGGATACTACTTGAGTTGAGAACCCAAGGCAAGTGATAATCTGTAATAGAATTCGACTGTTATTAGAGATTATTAAGACCTATTAGTTTTATGGATGACAAATGGATAAATGCAAATAATTAGCAAACCAACCAACCGACCAGCCAATGACCCAATCTACCAACAAACCAACCCACCAACAACCAACCAACAAATTTAGCAATCCAACTGACAAACCAACCCATCCACCCACCCAATAGCAAACAACCAACCAACCAATCCACCAACCAACCAACTGACCAACCAACCAATAAGCCAACCAACGAACAAACCAAACCAAACCAATCTACAAACTGGACAAACTGCTGTACTATTCAAAAATGTGTTTCCTTATTGATTTGGGAAGACATTGTTTACTTCCAACGAATTGGTGGGTTGGTGGGATCCAGAACCACTGCACCCCCCTGGTCATATCTACTTACAATTATAAGAATTTTAAGAAATGTCTTGGGTCCATAGGGCTTGTAAGGAGGGACATCCTTTAGAGATCTTGCTCTTCGAAGAGTGTGCATATCAGGTAACTTAAAAACAAAAATTGGCATCATTTTTCATAGTTTTAGTGTTTATAATACTTTGAATAAGCAAGGTTAAGTTCTAGGCCTTGTTGCTAAAAAATCACCGAAATTGGGACAATCTTGGCGCKCTTTGCTGTGAAATAAAGCGTTTGAAAGTCGAATTCAGCGCGTACGTGAGAAAATAGTAGCGAGCCACCTTAACATATTGAAATGACATTGATATGGCCTATGGCGCTACATCTTTGCATCGAGTACGTAACATATTCTCATTTTCCATTAAAGATCCTATTATTTTATCCTACCTTTCGACGATTTCTTTGGGAAAACATCGAAAGCTAAAYTAGCGTGAATCTAGCTATT